TGCTGGAAGTTGAAGGAGCTCAGCTGGAGGTGGTCGAGGAGATCACCGGCGAGACCGCGGGAAGTTCGAGGGAAACGGTGCCAGGTGAAGGAACAAGAGTGGCGAGGCCGCCGGTGTCATGGGCGGAGACTGCGGAGAGGGTCGAGAACCCGATTGCAGCAGCCGAGAAGGTGGAGGTACCGGCGGCGGAGAACGGGGTGACAGCGGTCGAGACGGTGGCAGTTACACCTGGATCTTTGACGATCAAGACGAGGAAGGTATGCATCGCTGGACAACGAGCGAGTGCTCCGGATGAGTTCGAACAATATCGTAGAGCGTGCTACTGGATGCGATGTTGAACCACGGTATCACGTACCGGGTACGACCGCTTTCTGTTCGTTTCGGGAGATGGCGCTTGTTGCACACTCCCGTCAAAAGTCGTAGTTTGGTGGCTTGGGCCACCCCTCTCCACAAGACTCGGGGGGTGTCAGTAGTTCGTGTGGACGCACAGCTTTGGCTGTATCACAGTGCGGCGATACCATTCGTGTCGTCGTGGAGGACTGCCTCGTATCCGCACCCCACGATAAAACCTCAACACCAGTCGGTGTTAGTCACCCAAAAGGGTGCCTTCCTTAACCTTCGTTGCACTCACTTATCATACGTCTCAGAATTAACCCCCTGGCCCCCTCGACCAATATACGTTTGCCCAGGTGTCCTCGGAAGAGAGGCAGATGGCCGGATCCCCCCAGGGGCAGATCTTCGACGTGGTGGCGTTGAAGAGCAGCGAGGTGCCGGCATCAGTCGACATCTCGAAAGACCTCGAGGTGTGCATGAACGAATGATAGCACCACAGCCTGGCTGTCAATGACCTCGTTTCCGACTATAAGGGTTGCAGGGTCGGCATGACAGAAATACCATCTCGCTTCCGTACGTGCTCGACGTAGAGGCAACGCCACCACCAGCCAAGTTTGGGTTGGGGCGTTCGTCCGTTTCTTGCTTTGAATGCCGCGACCCTGCAACAGCGTGACCTCCTATTCGATCTCCGTTTGGGGACGTACTTTGAGGATGTACAACCACACGTGAAGGCCCCATCGCTTTTCTTTGCAGGGCGGGGTGGGTGGTTGAAAGCATGTGCTGAATCCGCCGGGTGTTGCAACCAGAC